GTGCTCAGGATTTGCGCAACTGTGGGCAAAAAGCCAGAGATGATTCCAGTTCAGTTGAGTCCACGAATGTGTTCGGAAAATTTCCAATCCGGGCTTCTGGAAAGAATACTGCGAAGAGGCAGAACGCGCTCAGTCCATATAAGGCTTAGCCGTTGCTCTCGATAAAAGCTTAATTGATTAAACTCTACCTGCGCGGTCATGTCCAGTTCCTCTACAGGCTCTACTTACTTAATATGCAGAGCTGGGCAGCGCTACTTTGAAATGTAGTGCCGCTACCGCTACATGCTCTAAATGTAGCGGGCGCTACCGCTAGCGCTACACCCACTAGATTGTAGCGAGCGCTACCGCTACAGTAAATGTAGCGCTGCTACATCAGCCGCTACAATGGCCAAAATTATTAGAAATCTCCAAATATTTATAGTTCTGCTATTGGGATTTACTCATAAACATTTAATGATAATATGACATTTTCAAAATATATCAATGCAACTTAACTTTATTGCAATTAACCTAACCGAACAAGTACGGGTTAGATACAGTAAATAAAAGTTACAGTTATTTTTATGTTTAACCTTCCCTACATGGATGTGTACTTTAATCTAACAATCTAAAAAATTACCCACATATACATATAAAAAATATAACTCACTTAAACTCAGTACTCACTGCATTGAGTGACAGAGAGCGCATTTTCTCGTCAACGAAAACTTGAGGTCACGGACGTACGGACAGACGGACGGACAGACAGACAGACGGACATGGCGAGCACAATAGTGCATTTTTTCCATAAATGAGAAAATGCGTTAAAAAAATATAACTCAGTACTCACTGCAGTGAGTGACAGAGAGCGCATTTTCTCGTCGACGAAAACTTGAGGTCACGGACGGACGGACAGACGGACGGACAGACGGACGGACAGACAGACGGACATGGCGAGCACAATAGTGCATTCATTCCATAAATGAGAAAATGCGCTAAAAATCAGTCTTTTATTTGTATATACAGGGTGACAAAAAAAAAAGTTGCTAAAAGTAAAGGATTATAACTCAAAAAGTATTAAACGTAGAAAGATGAAATAAAAATCACATGAAAGAGTATAACTTCAAGTTATATTTGATATCCATGTTACCAAAGTTCTCTATATATTTCATATTCAAAACTCAATTTTTTTAAGATCAAGATTCCACTACAATGCAGCTAAATTTTGAGCAGCGAGTTTTCATTGTCGAACAATTTTACCTGAAAACTTCACTAATCAAAATAAAAAGAGGTTATTCCCCCAAATACAGACAAGAAGTTAGTCTCAACACAATCAAGAAGTGGATACGTCAGTGGAAAGATAAAGGAACGATCCTGAATCAAACTAAAGGCCATTCTGGACGGCAAAGAACTGGAAGTTCAGAAGAAAACATTGCCAAGATTGAAGAAATAATTAATGAATCGCCTTTGGATTTCTTCCTATGGAGTTACGTGAAAGAAAAAGTATTCAGTACAAGACCAAGCAGCATTGACAATCTGAAGATAGCAATTCGTGAAGCTCTCGCACTTACTGACCAGGGTTACCTTGTCTGCAGTAACCGTAAATTTTGAAAAACGTATTAAGCTGCGTATTCAACAGCAAGGACATTTTGAACATTGATTGTAATCTGAATAAAGCTTCAAGTTGTACTCTTTGATGTGGTTTTTATTTAATGTTTCTACGTTTAATACTTTCGAGTTATAAGCTTTACATTTAGCAATTTTTTTTGAGGTCACCCTGTATATATGTAACATAAAAATAACTGTAAGCAAACTGAAACATGAAAAAATACCTGTAAGTGGTACCTGGTAACAACTTTACAAGTAACAACTAACATGTTGACACTAGTAACAGGCTGAGGTTGACAACATTACACCGAAATCTTTCGTACAGTTTTATTCAGTAATTTATATTATGTATGTATCATGATGGTTTTTAAATAATATTTAAAAATATTAAGTAAAATCGAAAGGCTTTATCTATAAATGTAGCGGTAGCGCTGTAGCAGCAAAACCTCGTATCGCTACTTAAATATGTAGCGGGCGCTACCGCTACAATTGCTTAAATGTAGCGCCGCTACCGCTACCGCTGCAAGTGCTTAAATGTAGCGGCCGCGGCCGCTACCGCTACAATTGCTTAAATGTAGCGCCGCTACCGCTACAGGAAATGTAGCGGCCGCTACATGTAGCGCACTACTGCCCACTTTTGTTAATATAACACCTTAATTTCTTTAATAGAATAGAAGTGTCGGCATTGAAGAAAATAGGCCCATGGCCTGTTGCCGATTCTTGAATTTTTTTATGATTTGATTTACAAGGGTTCCGGCCTTTGGAACCCGATCTTTCCATAACTGACGATTGATTGAGATAGCTGCTGGACTTATTACCTAGGTCCGTAATTTGCTAGGAATTTTAAGACTGAACATATGCTCCTGCATAGCTTCGTCTAGTCTGTTTTTGAAGGCGTTCATACTCGGAGCGTCAACGATGCTATCAGGGAAGCTGTTCCACATGTCGATGACTCGAAGCGAGAAGAAATTTTGTCGCATGGATGTGTTACAACGTAGTTTTTTTAGTTTATAGCCGGGGCCCCTAGTGTTGGTTCTTGTTTGAAATTCTAGTAAAATTTCTGGGACCTTGTATAAGCCATGAGTATACTTGTATGCTTCAATGAGGTCCCCACGCAGACGTCGATAACTGAGGCTGGGAAGTTTCATAATCTTTATCCAAACTCTAGGTTCGGGTGCACGACAGTAACAAACAACTGCTTCATCGCTTCTGCCTCTAGGAACTCGAAAGGTGCGTCTGATCAGTTCAAGTCGTTTATTGGCTTTATTAACTTGACCTTCAATATTTTTAGGAAATTTCAACTCATTGTCGATATTAACTATTAAATCTTTTCCATTGTCGACTTCGAAATCATCACTCTGTCGTTGCAACCGTGTATTCTCATACTGTAATCTTGCAGTTCATTATTCTTGCCTAGGTGGATAATTTTACATTTGTCAGCGTTAAAACGCAGATGCCACTTATCAGCCCAGTCAACCAGCCTGTCAAGATCACCTTGCACCTGTACTTTTTGCGACGTATTCTTCACTGTATTATATTTTTTTGTCGTCGGCATACATCGAGCAAATGCTAGACACAGCTTCTGGCAGATCGTTTATAAACGCAACGAATAGAATAGGCCCGAGAACGCTTCCTTGTGGCACGCCGCTGCGCACTGAAGCCCAGCCTGATACGGACCCGTTAATGCTGACACGTTGACGCCTCACTACTAGAAAATCTCTGATCCATTTGAGTACATTACTCTCGGTTCCCATAGACTTCAATTTGCGCAACAGCCGCTCATGTGGGACACTGTCAAATGCCTTGGCAAAATCAAAGTACACCGCATCTATACTGGCTCCCTTTCGTCCAGCAGGCGGGTCCATTCGTTCAGTAGACAAGAGTCTACTGAACGAAGATTTCCAGGATCTCCCGGCAATAAAGCCATGCTGACAGTCTGATAGGAGATTATTAGCTGTCAAATGATCTATCAATCGATCCCTTACAACAGATTACATTATCTTGCAAACGACACTTGTCAAACTGACAGGCCGATAATTGCCCGGGCAGCTTTTGCAACCTTTTTTGAACAATGGTATCACTTGAGCTTCTTTCCAGTCAGCCGGCAAGATCCCTTCGTTCAAAGTTTTTCGAAAAAATGACGTCAGAGGGCCGGCTAGGACAGTTGCTAACTCTTTGAGTAATCTGGGGTGGAAGCCGTCTGGTCCACAAGACTTGTTTGGATTTAGAGCGATAAGGCGCTTGAGAACCTCTTCTTCTTGTATTTCAAAAATTGTTAATTTAGAGCCGACTGGGCGCTCCTCAATAGCTGGAATACTGTTCAAGTCCTCTTCAGTGAATAAGCTACTGAAAAACTGATTAAGTACGTTAGCTTTGCCCTCATCAGAGGATATCTTTCGTTGATCTACTTCCAAGTCAGAAATACCGTCCTTCATCTTGCACTTCGAGCTAGCGTACAAATAGAAGGCTTTCGGGTTCTTTTTTGCATTTTTAGCAATACTTTTTTCGAGAGTTTTTACTGCGGTGCGACAGCTTTCTTCAGCTTGATTTCAAGCTCTTACGTATAGGTTATAGTCAGTATCGCTAAGAGTAACATAAATTAAATAAAAGGTGTTAATTTGTTGTGCACAACTCTTGCTTAGTTTAATATTTCAGTTTTGGGGTGCATGCGTTTTTCACTTCTTTTATGAACACTTTGACCGGCTCGTCAAATTGCCTATTTAACTTAAGACCTTAAAAAACTTCAACTAATAACCACTAAGCCTTAAAATTATTAACTTGACTGGCCAAGGTGGTCATTCCCTATACTATGGTAACCTCTATTTAAATTCGGAACTGCCGCGCGTTAAAAATAATTAATAATCATTACTACAATTAATTTCTACATCTTGAAGCACTGCGCAATATGTGCACTTAATCTTAATTGATTAAGGTGAGCCTTATTCTTTAATTAACGTAAATACTGAACTACTGAAATATCTGAATTATTACTAGCATATTGACTGTTGTGATGATTCGTTGGTTTTCACCAGTATCTCCAGTAATGTTCAACATCAGCCAAAATTAAGTTAAACCTGGATGCAGCTCTCTAAATAGATTTCAACTGCCTTGAATATGAAGAACTGCCCAAAAAAATGCGAATCTTTGAATAAATTCTTATTAAAATGCCTAAATTGATAATCACTTATTTCTATCCTGCTTAGCGCTTGCCTTTTGATCATTCCTAGAAGAGGATTACCTCCAGCGTAGGGAATATTTCCCTACAAATGAATCAATTATTACATAACAATCGTTCAATCCTGTTTTAGTTGATCCGTCAGTTATTGTACATTTCTGGATTTTTTCTTATAAAACACAATCTGCATTGACACAAAAAAATTGGTTGATTTATTTTTAAACAAGAAAACCAGCGATATTATTTTATCTAAAGACAAAAATGCACCATACACGAGTTTTTAGCGTGCTGCTCAATTCTATAAAAATAGCGTTTAAATGGCAATTTCTAGGCGACTTGTATAGCTGGCATCCTGAGATCAATACACCCAAACTTTGGGTGTAGATCAAAGAGATCAATACACCCAAAATTTATGACAGTTGAAATTTTCTCGAAAAAGGACAATTCTGTGCAAATGCACTCCAAATTTTCTTACGTCCAGTTTTATCAAGATGAGGAGTTCTCACATAAAATTGAAAAAATGTTCAACCATGGTCAATTAATTTGAATAAAATTAATTCTTATCCTGAAAATAATCTTACCATCAAAACCATCAAATTATGACAGGGTTTTTCCTATTGCAAACACTGTAAAACTACCTATGAAGAACATTTTTGAAAGCTGTTTAATTTACGTGTTTAGCGTCATCTATCTCTAACACGATTCGACGTCTTCGTCGCAGCGCAGCCGTAGCACGTCATCGCCATGGACACGGCTCGATGGTCTTGCTGGTGTCGACGCACATGAAGTAAAGGTTATCGGTGCAGTAAAGGTTATCATGTCTATGGACACGGCTCGATGGTCTTGGTGGTGTCGACGCACATGAAGTAAAGGTTATCGGTGCAGTAAAGGTTATCATGTCTATGGACACGGCTCGATGGTCTTGCTGGTGTCGACGCACATGAAGTAAAGGTTATCGGTGCACGGCCATGTCGAAAGTTTCCCGGACTGCAGGATGACCACGCAGGAGGAGGTGTCAGCGGGACCATCCCACATGTCAGCGGCCACGGGTGTCCTGCTGGGCATGTGGACCCAAGCACCGTCGATGTATCGCACGTTCACCCAGAAATGTGGCGCCTCTAAAAAAATCAGAGAAATATTACCCGGGATTATAATTGGAATTTCAAATTTATGGGATGTTGGCACAAAAGTAGAAAAAAAATCCTCTTACGCCTGAATGTCTGTTAATTTTTGTTTCTTGCTGGTGTGGGACAGAATTTACTGGGATCAAATGGACTTCTAGATAAAATATGTCAGCCTCATTTTTATAAACTGAGATTTACTAAATAATTTTCGCCCCTTGACTGACATTATATTTCATCCTAATATATCGAAAGATCAATGAAAAAAAGGAGATTCGGAAAATATTTGATTTTCTCTTGACGACACAATTCAAGGAAACCATGACATGAATTCATTGGATCAAGCCCAAAAGTTACACAATAGCACTATAAAAAAGTAACACAATAACAAAGTAAACAATAAACATGTCAGTTCATACATCATGGAGGCATACATGACATTTGCAAAGAATATGTCTACATTGCCTCCTCAGAACTGGAAAAGATAGCCAAATACAATTGTTTTCTCACCAGATTTCGAGGCAGCGGCGCTCATCACGGCATTCAAGTTCTCCTGCGTGTCTACTTGGGCCAGGGCGAGTCCAATCAACGCACAATCCATCGCTGCCGTACAGAAGCTCTGTGCAATATCTGATGTGAGGATGTGGGGGAGTGCGTCAGTTCCAATGCAAGACACTGCATCTTGCGGGATTTCTTCTTCAGTATCATCTAGGAAATGTGGAAAAGCAGTTAGTAAGTTGAACAGTTAATGTGTAGGAACATCGAATACTTGACAACTGCAAGACTGATCATTAATCAGAATTCACTTACATAGATTCTAATTATTTACCTCAAATAATTAAAAAATGCCTTATTACTGCAAAATAGTAGGATTATAAACTGCATCTTTGGCGCAACGATTCTGTGAAACACAAGAAAACAAACTTAAAAACACCTTTGTGTTCAATTTAGCCTCCAGAAAAACTAATTCAAATATTGTGGGCACATGGAAAGTCCACAATAAATTGTAATGCTGTTATTAGATTCACAGTCCGACTGCATGGCCCGAGCTTGTATTCCGTAAATCAGGAATGTAATATAACTTACCAATTCTTTATTTATTGTAAACTGTTATATCGAACCGTGAGAATGTAATTCGTCATGAAAATATAGAATAATAATTATAATAAATATAAAAAACAATAAATATAATGATAAATAATAAATAATTAAATCAGAATATATTTTTATCGCGTTTAGCCGGTCCTTTATTCACCTTGAAGGTGTACTTTCGTTCCAACACACGTCGAGTAGCACAGTCCATCATTCGTTATGTTTTGGCCATCCAAAAACCCGCCAAAAAGAGTGAGGCATCCACTTGTACCTGAGGAGGAATAATTATTGTGAAATATTGGTTTATTATTGAAATTATATATACATTTTTGGGGCGACGGACACCTAACGAGAAGGGATGAAGTCCTCGTGTAGGTGGCGAGGAGGGACAATGCAGCTAATTGCGTTAAGTTAGTTAGAATGGGAAGGAGAAGCAAGCGGCAGAACGAAACGGTATACTGTTAGAAAAAACGGTCCCACTGGCGTTCTAGTGGCAGGTCGCCCCGTGAAAATGAACTGTTTCGCCGTTTTTATCAGATGTTTTACGGATTTCTAGTGTTAAATTAGAATATAAAAAAAATATATGTTCAGATTTGAAATGCCTAGCTCCTTATCGAACCCGGTGGAAGTCTAGTAGCTTCTTCAAACTATCGCCAGTCATGAAAAGATCCGGTCAAATGACACGAGTTTAGATCTATGAACAAGGCACGAAATGGAAAAGAATCGGCGACAGGCCACATCAGGCCTACACTTCAGAGCCGACATAACTATGTTATGTTATGTTATAAACGGCGACACGGTGTTTCTTTTCACGTGCCGACCAGCCGCTCAAACGCCGGTAATACCGTTAACGGTAATTTTTCTAACAGTGATATACTCACAAGTGATGCCTATTACTGTTTGATAGATGACCTCTTTTGGAGGTTCATCCGTTGCGAAAATAAGGGCCAAAATATACTGTGGAATGATTTTACGCTTGCAGAACAAGATTGCCAACGTCAAACTTATAACCCTGCTTGAACTCAGATTTTTTTCTTGCATACATATCGTGATCTATCGTAATATTGAGTATATCTGACACCACGTCGCACGTAACAGGGAGGCATGACAACACAATTATCCATACATAAATTAACCTAAAAATTAGTAGACCACACGATATTAAAACATATTTCATTAAGGCAGCGATGGGCAAACTGCAGGCAATGGCTCTCATGCGTTCAGTCAGGGCCGTACGAGTTGTGATCCTACGTTGGTTCTAACAGCTATTTTGATTGATGTGGTCTAAAATTTATACTATATAATTGAGTTTATGCAAAGATTTTGATAATAACTGGAAAATGCATTAATTTGTGGCTATCAAGCATCACTAGTGTTAATAGTGTTAAAATCAGGGCTTGAGCGAATCTTTTGCTTGAAAGGCCACGTTGAAATTTTGAATGTTATTAGATGGCCGAATGGATATTTTTCTTATAATTTATTCATAATGAATGCTGAATTCACTAGTGTTAATATCAATAATTCAGTTATAAATTCAGCATTCATTATGAATAAACTATAAGAAAAATATCCATTCGGCCATCTAATAACATTCAAAATTTCAACGTGGCCTTTCAAGCAAAAGATTCGCTCAAGCCCTGATTTAAAATACATCAAATAAGTACAGAAAAAATTTATTAACAGTTACAATAAATTCTTCCAAGCCAGATGAGTACAAAAATCCAGAACACATTCATATTTCAGAGAAAAAAGCACATTGTTAAATAATTCCGTTAGAAAACTATTTTAAAAATTAGAAAATATCATGCAGAATTCGTCAGGAATGTCAGGACTTTGAAACATTGGTTAGGAAAATGTTCAACACGGTTTCGTATACAAAATATATCAAAATCTATTAAAGCGCTAAAAATGCATTAAAATTATATTTTAACATACAAATTTGAGATTATCTGAATATTGTCTACTGTTACTCACCATCATAGCCGACATAGACCGTCTCACCATCGCATGCATCATTCCATGGATTATAGAAACCATTCATTGCGATCATGCAGGACCCTCCATTGAACTTGAACATCAGTTTGGCTGTTTATACAGAGCATTATACAAAATAAATGACATGAAGCTCTAACAGAGAGAATAATTTAACATGTATTTAGCAATTGCATCATTAATTAACTTGAACATCAGTTTGGCTGTTTATACAGAGCACTATACAAAATAAATGACACGAAACTATAACAGAGTGAATAATTTAACATGTATTTAGCAATTACATCATTAATTAACTTGAACATCAGTTTGGCTGTTTATACAGAGCACTATACAAAATAAATTGCACGAAACTATAACAGAGAGAATAATTTAACATGTATTTAGCAATTACATCATTAACTTGAACATCAGTTTGGCTGTTTATACAGAGCACTATACAAAATAAATGACACGAAGCTTTAACAGAGTGAATAATTTAACATGCATTTAGCAATTGTTTACAATGCATTTTAAGCAAATTTTGTTATTAACCAAAGATTTGCCAGGATTTATATTTTCTCGTTCGATTTAATCCCGCATTAAAATGGAACAAAAAAGAATTACNCGATACTTACACGTGTACTAAACTTCAAATTACTTTCATACGTGTTTACTGCGATACTTACACGTGTACTAAACTTCAAATTACTTTCATACGTGTTTACTGCGATACTTACACGTGTACTAAACTTCAAATTATTTTCATACGTGTTTACTGCGATACTTACACGTGTACTAAACTTCAAATTACTTTCTTACGTGTTTACTGTGATACTTACACGTGTACTAAACTTCAAATTACTTTCATACGTGTTTACTGTGATACTTACACGCCTACTAAACTTCGAATTACTTTCATACGTGTTTGCTGCGATACCTAAAAGTGTACTAAACTTCGAATTACATACTTTCATACGTAAAGAGCGAGTCTAGGAATGCTTTACATTTCGGCTACATGCTTTTACATGCTTTTCGGCTTTATGCTTATGTAGCATGTGCATTTGCAAAATTTATTCTTTTCCGACCCCATTCAGTTTATACAATCTTGGGTGAAAGGATATTTTCGAAATCGTCGATTTCAATCTGAGGGCATTCGCCTTCAGTAAACTCGTATTTTCTGATTCCGGAGGCAAAGTAAAATTCAAGCAAGAAAGTAATAATTCAAGTACTAAAGTAATAAAATAATAATTGTGGAGGCAAGGGAAAATTCAAGTAAGAGCGTAATAATTCTTGCCTGTCAAAAATTATTCCACGAAAAAATGATCAACTTGACGCGAACCAAGCTGCCACATGTCGGCGGGCTGACTCATGGCCTGCAGTTAGATGGCAAGTGTTAGTACACTTGTAATGTTGGGGGCTGCAAATATATATTTCTTGCCTGTATCGAAATGAACTTTCACTTTTGACTTGAAAATGTATTGCACCGCCTTCCCCCTTCCTTCTCCACCCATAGCTAGCGGGTTCAATGGACTTCTTTAGTTTATAGACGTCGCAATCACAAGTTTGAAGTGAAAGTTCCCATTGAGGAACTCCGCAGCTTTCTGCTTCAATGGGGTCTGCTGACTCATGCACTCCATGATTCATAATCTAGTCAAATAAAAATGAACGATATTTTCAGTTAACTATTAACCAATAAACAATATTTATAGTTAAACATTAACCAATGAAGAATATTTATAGTTAGACATTAACCAATAACCAATATTTATAGTTAACATTAACCAACGAACAATATTTATAGTTAACCATCCAACGGAGAATGGCCAATATTCCGCAACATGGTGGATCGTTCTGCCTGAAATTAATTTTACTAATTATTAACGCAAAATATTATATTTCTTAGCAGTACACACATAGCACATCACCAATGCTCATGAGAATGGGATATAATGATTGAATTTTAACGCTCACTTTGAAAAAGTGTCTCGTGAAATTTGCGTTGCACGATGTTGCCCAGCAAGCGGGCAATAAGCCTGCTTGCCGGTCAGCGTAAAAATCTAGCTATGGTGGTGCAAGTACATAAATAACTTAAACATTAACAGAAAATAAATATTGACACAATATCTACTTGAATGAACTTTAACAGAATAGTAGATAATATACGATGGTGTCTAACAAAGCTTTTTTTTTAATTTGAAGCAAAATTCTTTTCAGTTGATTTGATTTTTGCTGAAAGGTGAAAAATCAACTTATCGAAGAGTTAGTTATATGAGAATTCTACGTTATAGGCGGCTGGAACGAGTTTAACTCTCACTCACATTACATTAGTTTGAAAAGTAGAAACAAGATTCGGGATAATTATACGCAGATTGCCCGTATTGGGAATTAAGGAATTTTCAAATTATTTATCTTTTTCAGGGACGGGTTGATCTCCTAGAGTTCTATAATATATAAAAATGTACAATAAAATTAAAAATAGCTGATGCAAAAGTACTTAGGTGTTTCTTATTCATTCAATAAGTTCGAGTTTATATGTTGAGTGACTAATTGAATCGATTGATCGTTGAGAGAGGATGTAATTTTAACAGGTCCATCTAAGTTTGTAACGATTGTATTGGGTCATAAAAGAATATAACATATAACATGCAAATGTACATGCTACAAGAGCATGTAGCCGAAAAGCATGTAAAAGCATGTAGCCGAAATTTAAAGCATTCCCGGACTCTCTCTTCAGGTGTGTCTATATACATTGGCCAAAAGATACGGGTAACTGATATTTACGAACTGTGAAGTCTACACTGAGGCCAATGCACATGATGATCTGGGGCCGTTCTATAAAAACTAAATGTACTGGACCTATACTTTCAAAAAAAGTTAAGAGATCGTAAGTTCATCAGCCAATAATTGACGGCCTTTACAGCAAAATCCACCATCATAGACAAGAAAATAGAGCGTAAGTACTTACGTTCACTTAGCGAATTTTGAAAGTATGGCCCCTGAACTCTGTCAGCCAATCAATGACGGCTTTACAAGAATAGCTACACCCTGTGAATAGCTACACCCTGTGAATAGCTAAAACCCTGTGAATAGCTACACCCTGTGAATAGCTACGTGAATAGCTACACCCTAATTTTTTATAATTTTGTCTCTTTTTAAATTTCCTTCTTCTTCTCAGTATCAAAACTCATTTCGTGATTTAAATTGCATTCAAATTATTTTATAGTCATCCGCGCCCCGAAAGGAGCGTAGACAAATTGCCTAATCTTCGCTCTAATTTTCACTGTTTTTAATCGAATCAAATTAAGATTGATTCTCGCAATTTATATCGTTCAAGAATTACGCTGCGTCTCGCACTGGCCATGAGACCGCATTTTATGAATTTTTATGGGAAAGAAAGACCCAGTAAACCTATTTAAATAAGACGCCAGTAAAGCAGGACCCAAGTAAATCAATATGTATATGATTCCACAAGTGCTATACATATATAAGGCCCCAGTCAAGTTATATACGTAAGTGAGACCTTAGTAAAGCGATATATATATTTATATATATAAGAACCCAGCAAACATATTTATATATACGTACATATAAGACCCCCAAAAAGCTATATAATACAAGGTCCCAGGAAAGCTATTTATATAAGACCCGAGTAAAACTATGCATGAAACCCTAGTAAAGCCATAATTCAATGCATATTCAACTGCCCAAATTTTTTATTTGTGAAATTTCCATCTAAATGCCTTTGTATGGTGTAAATATGTCATATAAAACAGTTTCTGCACAATTGTAGAGGATATAATGAGAGGAGCAGTAGTTTAAAGAAAAAGTCCCAAATGGGGATCATGGGCAAAAGGGTTATAAAAAATACTGATTATTTTTCGTCGGCGTTCTTATTATTATTTCCAAACTTATGAAGCAAGTATGTGTTATTAGTGCTTCTTCATAATGCTAAATGCACATTCCTTTATTTGTAACCACAAAATTAATCATGGTCAGTGTTTTTTATGTAATAAAATTTTACATTCTTTCGTGCTTGAATGCCTTTTGGTTGAATTTTTTTCGTTGTATTCAATAGCTGTGATGTCATTGATAAAGAATGCATTCAAAGCTTATAAATGGCTAACAGTAGACGAAACTTCAGGCTTCACGGTTGGTCGAGGTTGAATAATATTTTCAGCAGCAGTTCTACGTTCAGCTGGAGTGATGTTAGACCAGATCAGTGTTTTTCAGGTTCATGTTTAGTTTTCGTCCCTAATTATACGTTGTACTTTTGCTCTGTGTCAGGCAACTGAAAATCTTTGTAATTTTCAGTATTGAGATAAGTATCAATGGAGCATAGTTTGCGCTTTTGAAAAAATAGTCTTGGTGTTTCTGTGAGTGAAGTTTCTACTACTCGCGTATCGTCTAAACCGAATGATTCTTCATGGAGCAGCTCATGCTGCGGTTTTGCTGATCTGTGCTAGTTTCTTGATCGTTGTCATCAACACTGACGATACAGTCAATATCATGATCTTCATCGCTGCTTACTGTCTCACAGTATATCTGTTCAAACAGCTATTTTCTCATCGTCTACCTAAATGAATTATAAAGCATATCCGCCATGTTACTAACTTGTGGATATGCTTATGAGATTGTAAATATGAAGGTAATATTAACTGCGTAGCGACATGGAGAAATTAGTTTTAAAAAAATTGTGAGTTTGGCATATTTATAAGTGTTCGTGGCGCGGTCCCGAACACTTGAGGTAATTGCTGAGCTTTTGGCAGACCTGAAACCGCGAGTAGCCGTGACGCTGCTGCCTGGACTGCATGCGTACATCCTTTTCATGTGCATCCGACACACCGACCACATCGACGACGACGAGAAGGTAGTCTCCTTCGAAAATATCCGACTATTCGCTTCCAATTAGCTCGCTTTAATTTTATTTGTTCAACAGCGTAATCTCGGGCCAGTCGCTCCAAGTAACTTCGCTTCAATTTGATTATTGCTACCCCTTATTCTCGGGCCAGACGCTCCAAGTAACCACGCTTTAATTTCATTATTTTTACAGCGTACTTAGAGAAATTATTGAGAACTTGAAGAAATTATTGATGCTGCTAATTATGACTGTAAGTGAAGTCAGTGTTTATCTTGTCCTTGATACCTGATGAATAAATTGAGAAATATGTTATTGATGTTATTATAAATAAGATCACTGACGTATCTCTTGATGCTGCTAATGATGACGACAGGTGAAGTCGCTGCTAAACCACACGAGGCTCGGCATTAAGCGCGTCATCAAGAAGCGATGTCAGGATCTTGACTCAACGGTGCTATGGCTGAGCAACACGCTCCGATTGCTGCACAACCTCAAGCAGTACTCCGGCGACCAGGCGTTCCAGCAGGAGAATACGCCCAAGCAGAACGAACAGTCACTTAAAAACTTCGATCTTTCCGAGTACAGACAGGTAACTCATTATACTACCTATTAAAAACTTGGACCTTTCCGAGTACAGACTGGTAACTCATTATTTTACCTATTAAAAACGTACACCTTTCCGAGTACAGACAGGTAACTCATTNTTGTGAAAGAATGGGTCTTTTTATCTATTGATTATTTTATGTATTATTTTTGTCCGTCCCTCCCGTTTCACACTGACTCATGACACCGCTACCAGACACCAAACTTCAGGTCCCGGTAACGTACTGGTACGGTAGGTATTGCGGATACATACAAACGCTAAAATAATACATAAAAAATTAGTGAATCCTAGCAATATTACATTGAATCTTTTCAACAATTTTTATGAACGGCAAGTATTTATTTTTAACAGTCGGCTGCAAAATTAACCTCAACACGCGACAATTGAAGATTTGAGAAAATTATTCAAAATGATTGCTTTCTTTTTAAATCTGTGTACTAAATTCAAACGTTTTCTACACATTACACACAAAATAATATCAAAACTTTCATGAATTCTTTTCTAATTCAAGCTTGTGAAGAGCAGCAATAGAGATTTGAAGAGCGTTAAGGTGCATCAATGCGTAACTTTAAACCTTTTATTTTGAAAATAATTTTGTAGTTCAATATACCGAGCCCACAAAAATTTCATAAAAACCCTACGAGCATAACAAACATTTGAAATAAAAGGTAAAATATCATGGTAAAATTATTATAATATTTATATGATGAAAGCTTAAATTTAATATTTTTTTCAGAAAATTGACGCGCTTGCAGGCAACTCTGATGTTTTGTCGCCGATCATCCAAGCGGCTCAGCTGCTTCAAGCACGCAAGACCGACGACGACGTTGAGAGCAAGCATCTGTGAAGTGTGCGATAAACTTACCCTGCCTCAGGTACGATAATCTCACCCTGCTTATTTATGTAATTTTTTATGTACTCTGAATTGGTACACGTCCTTCATTGCATTCTGGCACGTAAGCGCATCACAGTTATTTTCGTGATATACATCCGGGTTTCATTTTTTAATGGATTGAAATCCACACTCTCACAATGTCTGTTTGTGTAGATCGTGAAAATCTTGAACCTCTATACACCGGATGAGTTCGAAGAGCGTATACCGGCCTCATTCATTCAGAAGATACATCAGCGACTGCTGAAGCGGCCTGCTGCTGATCATGAACAGGTTATGCATTTCATTCGTTTTTTTTATTAATGCTTGAATAGCAAATTCACTAGAAATTTGAAGAAAAATAAATTCCACGATAATATATCAAGCCTTTGTAGAAAAAGTTCTCCATAAAGACATAATAAATTTCCGTGGAATTTTCTTAGCTATTAAATTTTCTAATTAGTTTGTTGCGCAGGAGACTTCAATTTTAGTATTTGATAGTTCAAAATATGATCAGGTATATTGTTTAATATCATTTTATTTATATTGTTTATTTTTATCATCATATAAATGCATCCCATTCAATACCTAAATCATTTCGATGATATTTAATTCATAGAGTACACATTTCTGAACGAAAAACATATTGTCAGTAGACTATTAATTATTTTCTCTCTCTTTAGGAACCTGTCCGGGACCTGGCACTGTAAATATGAAGCATGGCACTGTAAATATGAAGCATGGCACTGTAAATATGAAGCATGGCACTGTAAATATGAAGCATGGCACTGTAAATATGAAGCAAGGCACTGTAAATATGAAGCAAGGCGCTGTAAATATGATGCAAGGCACTGTAAATATGAAGCAAGGCACTGTAAATATGAAGCATGGCACTGTAAATATGAAGCAAGGCGCTGTAAATATGATGCAAGGCACTGTAAATATGCAGCATGGCACTGTAAATATGAAGCATGGCGCCGTAAATATGAAGCATGGCGCTGTAAATATGAAGCAAGGCACTGTAAATATGTAGCAAGGCATTGTAAATATGAAGCAAGGCCAGGATCCACACTAGCCTTAAGCTCACAAGTTAACATCGCCATCGAGGCGGAAGATGTACCCAATTGAACAATACCCACCTCACTAGCGATAAGGCGGATACTCTTCAATTGGGTACATACCCATGAATATGTCCCTACCAAAAATTTGCAAACAGCCAGGCCACTATTCACCTTTCAGGCCACAGTGCCCCCAGGTGAGTTCAATTAATTCCATCTGTGTGATCCTCATCACACAGATGTACCCAATTGAACAAAACCCACCTCACTAGCGATAAGGCGGATACTCTTCAATTGAGTAATTCGCCAGGAATATGTCCCTACCAAAAGTTTCTAAGAACCTTTATCTGTTGAGGCAAACATAATTTTTTCGTATGTGACCACACATACGAAAAAATTATGTTTGCCTCAACAGATATAGGTTCTTAGAAACTTTTGGTAGGGACATATTCATGGGGATGTACCCAATTGAAGAGTATCCGCCTTATCGCTAGTGAGGTGGGTTTTGTTCAATTGGGTACATCTGTGTGATGAGGATCGCACAGATGGAATTAATTGAACTCACCTGGGGGCACTGTGACCTGAAAGGTGAATAGTGGCCTGTCTGTTTGCAAATTTTTGGTAGGGACATATTCATGGGGATGTACCCAATTGAAGAGTATCCGCCTTATCGCTAGTGAGGTGGGTATTGTTCAATTGGGTACATCTTCCGCCTCGATGGCGATGTTAACTTGTGAGCTTAAGGCTAGTGTGGATCCTGGCCTTGCTTCATATTTACAGTGCCTTGTAGCTCTCTCCTCGCATTTTGCTCTCATCGCACTTCAACTTCCTCCGCATTTAACTTGTTAGTTCGTTCATATGCCGCACCTCTGTAAATCATTAGTGTTATTTGTTTACATTTATTTGCCGTTTATATTTAATAAACTTAAAACGTTTGTTCGAGTAACTATCCGCTCAGTCCAAGCTCTTGCTGATAAAACCAATAGGGAAGTTGAATTTAATTTCCGGTCATTGGTGGACGTGACAATTAGACCAACCGAACTTTGAGGTGACGCGATCAATTAGCTATTATTCAAGATTAGTTCGTCACAGCTCTTATGCGTCCAGTCAGGGCCGTACGAGTTTGATCCTACGTTGGTTCTAACAGCTATTTGGATTGTTGTGGTTTAAATTTATACTATTTATTTGAGTTTATGCAATGATTTGGATAATAATTGGAAAATGCATTAAATTGTGGCTATCAAACATCTCTTTCACCTGTGTTATTATCAATAATTCAGTTATAAATGCAGCATACATTATTAATAAATTATAAGAAAAATATCCATTCAGCCGTCTAATAACATTCAAAATTTCAACGTGGCCTTTCAAGCAAAAGATTCGCTCAAGCCCTGATTTAAAATACATCAAATAAGTACAGAAAAAATGTATTAACAGTTACAATAAATTTTTCCAAGCCCGATGAGTACAAAAATCCAGAACACATTCATATTTCAAAGAAAAAACACATTGTTAAATAATTCCGTTAGAATACTATTTTAAAAATTAAAAAATATCATGCAGAATTCGTCAGGAATGTCACGGCTTTGAAACATTAGTTAGGAAAATGTTCAACACGGTTTCGTATACAAAATATATCAAAATCTATTAAAAGCGCTTAAAATGCATTAAAATTATATTTTAACATACAAATTTGAGATTATCTGAATATTGCCCAGCACTGTTACTCACCATCATAGCCGACATAGACCGTCTCACCATCGCATGCATCATTCCATGGATTATAGAAACCATTCATGGCGATCATGCAGGACACGCCATTGAACTTGAACATCAGTTTGGCTGTTTATACAGAGCATGGTTAACGCTACGTAAAATAAATGTCACGAAGCTATAGCATAGTGAATAATTTAACATGTATTTAGCAATTGTTTACAATTCATTTTGAGCAAATGTTGTTATTAGCCAAAGATTTTGCCAGGATTTATATTTTCTCGTTCGATTTAATCCCGCATTAAAATTGAACAAAAAGAAACTTGCCTATTTTTTATATTACTTGCTACAAATTTTGATTAGAATCACCTCCACTCAAGCCAATAATATATGTTTCTCTCTTATTTAAAATAATAAAATTATGTATGTCAGACGTGCAATTTCACATTGACAGCGGATATAAAGAATTACCAGCGTCCACGGTGGCCTGGGCACAAGCGAAGAGAGTCTTAGCATCATCAGCGACCTGCCATGTGATGTTCTGAGCACTTGAGCTTGTGACCTGCACGAAGCCTTGTTGCCCTATGGCTACCAACCAGAGACTTCCCGGCAGCAAAGCTGCTTGTCTGATGCACGTCGAGAACAGGCTGCTTCTCAAAGAAGTTTCGAACCACAACTGCGATGACAAACGAAAAATCTGATTACAAATTGATACATAAAATAGATTAGTATGCTATTAAAAGCTGCTTGCTTGACGCAGGTCGAGAACTCAAAGAAGTTTCGAACCGCAGCTGATGACAATAAAAATTTGATTACAAATTAATATATAAAATAGATTAGTATGCGATTAAAATATTCAATATTAATTGGTTATGAATTCGAGTTATGTGTAACGCACGTAAAATTGAGAGGCATTTTTTTGAGTTGATGCTTTGATGACGTTGCCTTCATGCTTATACTCTATGAGCTGATCAGATGAGAACGGACGAAAATGTTAAGAAGTAAATGTGCCTCCTGATAAATAAATCACATCTGCAGTAGAACCATATATGAGCAAATAATTAAAAAGATATACGGTATAATTAGCGCCGAAACTGAGCGTGGTTCCCATATATTCTTACGTTCGTTGTTATTATTTCGCAAGTTGATTACGGGTAACGCTCGAGATTGGTCTATTTTCTGTTTATAAAAGTTGATTATTATTTAGGTGACTTACCAACCATTTATATAATGAATAAAACCATCTCATTGATCAGAAACAAAATTAGCATATATTTACTCACCGTTTCAATAACTTCGTTGGCGCGAGGAGAGGTCAGTTCCTGAGGGACAGGCACATACAAATTCTGTTATCAGATTTTTCACTAATATGCAATCATTAGATAGACATATGGTAACCGGTGAGATGATTTCTTATAATTATATAACCTATAGATAAACCTATAGCGAGGTAAGCTCAATTGATCGAAAATTTATCTGCACGATAATTTCTTAGAATGCAATAAAATTAGATTCTAAATCTTTGAAGGCAAATTGTGGACTACTGAGAATTAATGCACTATTGCAGACCAATACTTCCACACAAGTAGAATTATTCATTAACATAATTGTAGGATGTTACATGATTTTTGAAAAGAACAATACATTTTTAACTAGCTTTTCTCCTTGGGTAACAACTTAATGAAACTAAATTTTTAGAGATGAAGCAAATTTATACAGAAAACTCTACAGACACAGCGATAATTAAATAAAATTAACCCATAACATGTCCTAATAATAATCATAGCAAACTGCTTATATATTTATGAATATAGCAGTCTCTATTTCGTACCGTTGCAGTGGCTGGCAAGGCTGCCACCAGCAGCGTAAAAAGTAAGGCAGGCGTTGCCATCGGACGTTGTTGCTCAAGCGAGAGTCGCACTCGAACTGGCGGCCCGTCGCCCCCGCGGCCACAAGTTAGAATATTTTTACAGGTGTTTACTGCTGTACTTGCACGTGTACTAAACTTCAGGTTACTTTCATGCGTGTTTACTGCGACACTTACACATGTACTAAACTTCAGATTACTTTCATACGTGTGTACTGCGATCCTCACACGTGTACTAAACTTCAAATTACTTTAATACGTGTTTACCGCTGTACTTACACGTGTATTAAACTTCATATTACTTTCGTACGTGTTTACTGCGATACTTACACGTGTACTAAACTTCAAACTACTTTCATACGCGTTTACTACGATACTTACACGTGTACTAAACTTCAAACTACTTTCATACGCGTTTACTACGATACTTACACGTGTACTAAACTTCGAATAACTTTCATACGTGTTTACTGCGATACTTACACGTGTACTAAACTTCAAATTACTTTCATACGTGTTTACTGCGATACTTACACGTGTACTAAACTTCAAATTACTTTCATACGTGTTTACTGCGATACTTACACGTGAACTAAACTTCAAATTACTTTCATACGTGTTTACTACCATACTTACACGTGTACTAAACTTCAAATTATTTTCATATACGTGTTTACTGTGATACAGTGATACTTACACGTGTACTAAACTTCAAATTACTTTCATACGTGTTTACTGCGATACTTACACGTGTACTAAACTTCAAATTACTTTCATACGTGTTTACTGCGACACTTACACGTGTACTAAACTTCGAATTACTTTCATACGTAAAGAGCGAGTCTAGGAATGCTTTACATTTCGCCTACATGCTTTTACATGCTTTTCGGCTTTATGCTTATGTAGCATGTGCATTTGCAAAATTTATTCTTTTACGACCCCATTCAGTTTATACAATCTTGGGTGAAATGATATTTTCGAAATCGTCGATTTCAATCTGAGGGCATTCGCCTTCAGTAAACTCATATTTTCTGATTCCGGAGGCAAAGTAAATTCAAGCAAGAAAGTAATAATTCAAGTACTAAAGTAATAAAATAATAATTCTGGAGGCAAGGGAAAATTCAAGTAAGAGAGTAATAATTCTTGCCTGTCAAAAATTATTCCACGAAAAAATGATCAACTTGACGCGAACCAAGCCTCCACATGTCGGCGGGCTGACTAATGGCCTGCAGTTATATGACAAGTGTTATATAGTACACTTGTAATGTTGGGGTCTGCAAATATATATTTCCTGCCTGTATCGAAATGAACTTTCACTTTTGACTTGAAAATGTATTGCACCTCCTTCTCCCTTCCTTCTCCACCCATAGCTAGCGGGTTCAATGGACTTCTTCAGTTTATAGACGTCACAATCACAAATTTGAAGTGAAAGTTCCCATTGAGGAATTCCGCAGCTTTCTGCTTCAATGGGGTCAGCTGACTAATGCACTCCATGATTCATAATCTAGTCAAAATAGAAATGAACGATATTTTCAGTTAACTATTAACCAATAAACAATATTTATAGTTAAACATTAACCAATGAAGAATATTTATAGTTAGACATTAACCAATAACCAATATTTATAGTTAACATTAACCAACGAACAATATTTATAGTTAACCATCCAACGGAGAATGGCCAATATTCCGCAACATGGTGGATCGTTCTGCCTGAAATTAATTTTACTAATTATTAACGCAAAATATTATATTTCTTAGCAGTACACACATAGCACATCACTTTGAAAAAGTGTCTCGTGAAATTTGCGTTGCACGATGTTGCCCAGCAAGCGGGCAATAAGTCTGCTTACCGGTCAGCGTAAAAATGTATGTATGGTGGTGCAAGTACATAACTAACTTAAACATTAACAGAAAATAAATATTGACATAATATCTACTTAAATGAACTTTAACAGAATAGTAGATAATATACGATGGTGTCTAACAAAGCTTTTTTTTAATTTGAAGCAAAATTCTTTTCAGTTGATTTGATTTTTGCTGAAAGATGAAAAATCAACTTATCGAAGAGTTAGTTATATGAGAATTCTACGTTATAGGCGGCTGGAACGAGTTTAACTCTCACTCACGTTACATTAGTTTGACAAATAGTAACAAGATTCGGGATAATGAGATGCAGATTGCCCGTATTGGGAATTAAGGAATTTTCAAATTATTTATCTTTTTCAGGGACGGGTTGATCTCCTAGTTCTTTAATATATAAAAATGTACAATAAAATTAAAAATAGCTGATGCAAAAGTACTTAGGTGTTTCTTATTCATTCAATAAGTTCGAGTTTATATGTTGAGTGACTAATTGAATCGATTGATCGTTGAGAGAGGATGTAATTTTAACAGGTCCATCTAAGTTTGTATCAACTGTATTGGGTCATAAAAGAATATAACATGTAAATGAACATACTACAGGAACATGTAGCCGAAAAGCATGTAAAAGCATGTAGCCGAAATCTAAAGCATTCCCGGACTCTCTCTTCAGGTGTGTCTATATACATTGGCTCACAGATACGGGTAACTGATATTTACTAACTGTGAAGTCTACACTGAGGCCAATGCGCATGATGATCTGGGGCCGTTCTATAAAAACTAAATGTACTGGACCTATATTTTCAAAAAAAGTTAAGAGATCGTAAGTTCATCAGCCAATAATTGACGGCCTTTACAGCAAAATCCACCATCATAGACAAGAAAATAGAGCGTATGTACCTACGTTCACTTAGCGAATTTTGAAAGTATGGCCCCTGAACTATGTCAGCCAATCAATGACGGCTTTACAAGAATAGCTACACCCTGTGAATAGCTACACCCTGTGAATAGCTACACCCTGTGAATAGCTACACCCTGTGAATAGCTACACCCTGTGAATAGCTACACCCAGTGAATAGCTACACCCTGTGAATAGCTACACCCTGTGAATAGCTACACTCTGTGAATAGCTACACCCTGTGAATAGCTACACCCATGTGAATAGCTACAACCTGTGAATAGCTACACCCTGTGAATTCTACACCCTGTGAATATCTACACCCTGTGAATATCTACACCCTGCGAATTGCTACACCCTGTGAATAGCTACACCCTGTAAAAGCTACACCCTGCGAACTGGTATCAATATGAGCCGCTGTTGCAGCGGAAGCCATTTTTCTCATAGGATTAGATCCGAAGTTTGATTGGAATGTCCGATGGCGTTCATTTCTCATCAATCATTCACAATGATAATTCAAAATTCAGCAGTGAAGTCATACACGAAGTTACCAGCAGTTGCCGGTTCATTATTTATTAAAAGAAATATCGAACTTTCATGAGTGTTCTATTCATTATTTCTTTATACATTCATTGCCTAAATTCGAACTCGTTTTGAAGTGAAAATTTCTTTAGTGGCTGCAGCACAGTACAGTACGAAAGTTTTAGTTTTGAAGCCTAAATATTGAATCGATCTTGTTTATCATTTCGCACTGCACCAATAACATTTTTAAATCCTTGTCTCTAAAATCGGTCAGGTTTAGTCAAAAGTAGTTGGATAATTTTGAATTATAATATGCAAAAAATTGTCGGAAAGCATACTAAATCTTGAATTTTCAAACATTAACTAGACTAGATAAAGCTATGGAAAAATATATGTTCAGATTTGAAATGCCTAGCTCCTTATCGAACCCGGTGGAAGTCTAGTAGCTTCTTCAAACTATCGCCAGTCATGAAAAGATCCGGTCAAATGACACGAGTTTAGATCTATGAACAAGGCACGAAATGGAAAAGAATCGGCGACAGGCCACATCAGGCCTACACTTCAGAGCCGACATCACTATGTTATGTTATGTTATGTTATTAACTTTGAATAAAAAATGAATAAATAAATAAAAAATTATAATAAATAAATTGCAATATAAATGTGAATTGAAAAATCTATTACTCATGATATTACTCATGAAATATGACTAGGAAATCTAAGAGAAGTAAATTAATTCAATAAATAGCTTGAAAATTTGTTTAAATCATCTCGTTGTTTTTAATCTTATATATTAGCATGACTAAATAAACAGAATATCTTATATTCTACTTAACAATGCAATCATTTATTTATTATATAAGTCTATAATCTCAGGACATTTCATTCATCCAAGCGAGCCTGAATAATCTCCTGCATTGCGTGCTGTATACAAGCATGAACATAATATCCACGCTACCAATCCTCGAACAAAGGATAATTGCAAGATTCAGCAGTCCCAGATTATCCTTCAGATTTGGACAAGTCACATTTCCCTCGCGTAGTGTACACTCAGACAAATAAATGGGTCATATTATACAATTATTGTCGCACTTTTGTACCCAAACCCCACATCAGAGAGCGGACGTAGCACTGATACGTTCTCTTGCCGGGCAAAACATGGGTCAGGGTTTCCCACACAAGTGCAAAAGGTGTATCGCTATTTGGGACAAAGTTTTACACATTTATCTGAGTGTACCTAAAGCAGAGACAATTTCTGTTGATTACCTACAGTCAGAGAAATAACGGAGACTTGTCCGAATAATGAAGCACTTTTAATTGTGTGGGTCGCCTTAACCCAGTTCGGCTCGGTAAAAGTGCGTATTAAAGACTCGTCCGCTCTCTGTTTGCGCTGAGAGTAAAAAGCGTCACTGTTAAGACATTTTAGCTCAATTTTTTTTAGTGTAATCGTGCTATCGGCCTGTTATTAGTGGTCAGCGTTGGTCTTTACTTTAGCTCTAAAGGCGTGTCATGTGTCAGGTGTCATGTGTGTCAAGTGTCGTAAATAATTAATGAGTATTAGTAAATAAGTAATTAAGAAGCAGTATCAATTGATATTTATCTTCCGTAAGTCCTGCATTAATATCGAGATGTTAAAGGTAAAGGTAAATACCATTAATACCCTTATCACATAGCCCTTTACTACAAATTAATCATTAATAACTTTACCATTTTACCCTTTAATACAATTAATATCATTAATTAATACTCTTACCATTTATCCCTTCAATCCTATTAATATCTTTAATAACTTTATATATCCTTTAACCTTTTAATACAATTTTGTCAGGTACAAAAAGGATGAAACCCGTAATACCCTTAATAAAGGATGATAAGTGAGTGATAGGGGATGAAGGCATCAACCGATGAGAGATATTGAAATACTGGACAGATTGTCCGTGGAGTTTTACTTTTTGTTTGAGTCATCCTCTAAATAGGATTTTGTCCAATATTGTTATGCGATATAAATCTAAACATTGTAATTATAGCGGACATAAAAATTTAAACAAATAATCTAAATTCAGTTAAATAGTCATTTATTGCATTTGATGTAATTAACATGTTACTTATGAATAATAAAATTCATGATCCGTCAGGCAGGAGTTAAGAAGATGAGCGACATAACATTTGTCTGGCACCACATTAGCTTTTCATGTCGACGCATCATAATACGACCATATGGCGACCTTAATGCGACCATAATACGACCATAGTGCGACCATAATATGATCATAATGCGACCGTAATACGACCATGGTGCGACCATAGTACGACCATAATGTGACCATAATATGGTCATAATGCGACCATAATACGATCATAATACGATCATAATACGATCATAATACGATCATAATGCGAACATAATGCGGCCACAATACGACCATAATACGATCATAATACGATCATAATGCGACCATAATGCGACCATAGTGTGATTAAAATGCGACCATTATACGATCATAATGTGACATAATACGACCCTAATGCGACCATAACACGACCATGATACGACCATATTGTGACCATAATACGACCATAATACGATAATAATGCGATCGTTACTGAACATTTGTGGAGTTGTGAAAGAATGGGTCTTTTTATCTATTGATTATTTTATGTATTATTTTTGTCCGTCCCTCCCGTTTCACACTGACTCATGACACCGCTACCAGACACCAAACTTCAGGTCCCGGTAACGTACTGGTACGGTAGGTATTGCGGATACATACAAACGCTAAAATAATACATAAAAAATTAGTGAATCCTAGCAATATTACATTGAATCTTTTCAACAATTTTTATGAACGGCAAGTATTTATTTTCAACAGTCGGCTGCAAAATTAACCTCAACACGCGACAATTGAAGATTTGAGAAAATTATTCAAAATGATTGCTTTCTTTTTAAATCTGTGTACTAAATTCAAACGTTTTCTACACATTACACACAAAATAATATCAAAACTTTCATGAATTCTTTTCTAATTCAAGCTTGTGAAGAGCAGCAATAGAGATTTGAAGAGCGTTAAGGTGCATCAATGCGTAACTTTAAACCTTTTATTTTGAAAATAATTTTGTAGTTCAATATACCGAGCCCACAAAAATTTCATAAAAACCCTACGAGCATAACAAACATTTGAAATAAAAGGTAAAATATCATGGTAAAATTATTATAATATTTTTATGATGAAAGCTTAAATTTAATATTTTTTTCAGAAATTTGACGCGCTTGCAGGCAACTCTGATGTTTTGTCGCCGATCATCCAAGCGGCTCAGCTGCTTCAAGCACGCAAGACCGACGACGACGTTGAGAGCAAGCATCTGTGAAGTGTGCGATAAACTTACCCTGCCTCAGGTACGATAATCTCACCCTGCTTATTTATGTATTTTTTTATGTACTCTGAATTGGTACACGTCCTTCATTGCATTCTGGCACGTAAGCGCATCACAGTTATTTTCGTGATATACATCCGGGTTTCATTTTTTAATGGATTGAAATCCACACTCTCACAATGTCTCTGTTTGTGTAGATCGTGAAAATCTTGAACCTCTATACACCGGATGAGTTCGAAGAGCGTATACCGGCCTCATTCATTCAGAAGATACAACAGCGACTGCTGAAGCGGCCTGCTGCTGATCATGAACAGGTAATGCATTTCATTCGTTTTTTTATTAATGCTTGAATAGCAAATTCACTAGAAATTTGAAGAAAAATAAATTCCACGATAATATATCAAGCCTTTGTAGAAAAAGTTTTCCATAAAGACATAATAAATTTCCGTGGAATTTTCTTAGCTATTAAATTTTCTAATTAGTTTGTTGCGCAGACTTCAAATTTTAGTATTTGATAGTTCAAAATGTGATCAGGTATATTGTTTAATATCATTTTATTTATATTGTTTATTTTTATCATCATATAAATGCATCCCATTCAATACCTAAATCATTTCGATGATATTTAATTCATAGAGTACAAATTTCTGAACGAAAAACTTATTGTCACTAGACTATTAATTATTTTTTCTCTCTTTAGGAACCTGTCCGGGACCTAGCACTGTAAATATGAAGCATGGCACTGTAAATATGAAGCATGGCACTGTAAATATGAAGCATTCGCCTTCCTCCTAAGGCAACCACCACACATACGAAAAAATTATGTTTGCCTCAACAGATATAGGTTCTTAGAAACTTTTGGTAGGGACATATTCCTGGCGAATTACCCAATTGATGCGAATTACCCAATGTTTAAAGTACATTAAATGGCTGCTTATTCACTTACCTTGTTTATAATATTGAGAAATTCCTTTTGATTTTAATTTAAGTGACAAATGATTCGGATTTTATTGATTTCTACCCCGTCGTCAACTTTTGAAAAATACATTCACTCCTTTCAAGAGGTGTCTTTTTTTGTTTTTTTTTTTGTATTGAATGTATTTTTCAAAAGTTGACGACGGGGTAGAAATCAATAAAATCCGAATCATTTGTCACTTAAATTAAAATCAAAAGGAATTTCTCAATATTATAAACAAGGTAAGTGAATAAGCAGCCATTTAATGTACTTTAAACATTGGGTAATTCGCATCAATTGGGTAATTCGCCAGGAATATGTCCCTACCAAAAGTTTCTAAGAACCTATATCAGTTGAGGCAAACATAATTTTTTCGTATGTGTGGTGGTTGCCTTAGGAGGAAGGCGAGTATATTGTTTGTATTTATCATCTTATTCCTGTCAGCCTCTCTTTTAAACCTAGCCCTTTCCGGGTAAGGTAAAGCTCTGAAGTCCTGGTTTAACTGGGCTTTCTATATTCCAGGTTGTAGATTATCGACCACACATACGAAAAAATTATGTTTGCCTCAACAGATATAGGTTCTTAGAAAGTTTTGGTAGGGACATATTCCTGGCGAATTACCCAATTGAAGAGTATCCGCCTTATCGCTAGTGAGGTGGGTATTGATCAATTGGGTACATCTGTGTGATGAGGATCGCACAGATGGAATTAATTGAACTCACCTGGGGGCACTGTGGCCTGAAAGGTGAATAGTGGCCTGCCTCTTTGCAAACTTTTGGTAGGGACATATTCCTGGCGAACTACCCAATTGAAGAGTATCCGCCTTATCGCTAGTGAGGTGGGTATTGATCAATTGGGTACATCTGTGTGATGAGGATCACACAGATGGAATTAATTGAACTCACCTGGGGGCACTGTGGCCTGAAAGGTGAATAGTGGCCTGCCTGTTTGCAAACTTTTGGTAGGGACATATTCATGGGGATGTACCCAATTGATGAGTATCCGCCTTATCGCTAGTGAGGTGGGTATTGTTCAATTGGGTACATCTTCCGCCTCGATGGCGATGTTAACTTGTGAGCTTAAGGCTAGTTTGGATCCTGGCCTTGCTTCATATTTACAGTGCCTTGCTTCATATTTACAGTGCCTTGCTTCATATTTACAGTGCCTTGCTTCATATTTACAGTGCCTTGCTTCATATTTACAGTGCCTTGCTTCATATTTACAGTGCCTTGCTTCATATTTACAGTGCCTTGCTTCATATTTACAGTGCCTTGCTTCATATTTACAGTGCCTTGCATCATATTTACAGCGCCTTGCTTCATATTTACAGTGCCTTGCTTCATATTTACAGTGCCATGCTTCATATTTACAGTGCCAGGTCCCGGACAGGTTCCTAAAGAGAGAGAAAATAATTAATAGTCTACTGACAATAAGTTTTTCGTTCAGAAATTTGTACTCTATGAATTAAATATCATCGAAATGATTTAGGTATTGAATGGGATGCATTTATATGATGATAAAAATAAACAATATAAATAAAATGATATTAAACAATATACCTGATCACATTTTGAACTATCAAATACTAAAATTGAAGTCTCCTGCGCAACAAACTAATTAGAAAATTTAATAGCTAAGAAAATTCCACGGAAATTTATTATGTCTTTATGGAAAACTTTTTCTACAAAGGCTTGATATATTATCGTGGAATTTATTTTTCTTCAAATTTCTAGTGAATTTGCTATTCAAGCATTAATAAAAAAAACGAATGAAATGCATTACCTGTTCATGATCAGCAGCAGGCCGCTTCAGCAGTCGCTGTTGTATCTTCTGAATGAATGAGGCCGGTATACGCTCTTCGAACTCATCCGGTGTATAGAGGTTCAAGATTTTCACGATCTACACAGAGACATTGTGAGAGTGTGGATTTCAATCCATTAAAAAATGAAACCTTGATGTATATCACGAAAATAACTGTGATGCGCTTACGTGCCAGAATGCAATGAAGGACGTGTACCAATTCAGAGTACATAAAAAATTACATAAATAAGCAGGGTGAGATTATCGTACCTGAGGCAGGGTAAGTTTATCGCACACTTCACAGATGCTTGCTCTCCACGTCGTCGTCGGTCTTGCGTGCTTGAAGCAGCTGAGCCGCTTGGATGATCGGCGACAAAACATCAGAGTTGCCTGCAAGCGCGTCAAATTGGTTAAGAACGTTGGAATGACAAAAAAATCTGAAGACAAAAGTGACAGAAATAAATTAATTGGTCAGCAACTTCTAATTAACTTATGACACACGACTGACGGAAGGCTAATAGTCAGAAATTACCTGTGCCTTCTGGCTTAGCTCGAAGTTTTGCGTTCACTTCCCAAAAACATTAACTATAGTCTTCAACTCCTAGCAACTTGGGAGAGCTGAAGTCTACTGTATTTCGCAAATAAAATAAACAAAAATCATTCCATAATTTCCTGAGCAAACTATATCTCAGCTTTTAAAATTTGTTTCTGCTTTAATTGCGAAGTAGAGAACAGGCCTGACCGAGCTCTGGCAGCTGCATGTCTCTAGTCCACTGCTCCAGATGGCTGAGGTTGTAGCGAATCTGCACGCCCTTAGACCAGTGGCACATGTCCTTCCGCAGCAGTAGATTGTTCAGTGAACCAGCGCAGATAAAGTAAAATATCTGCAAATACAAGAAACATGTAATATAACGTAAAAGAAGAGTGAAATATACCTATGAATAAATTCGAAAATTTACCAAGAGGGTTGAAAAAGAAGGAAAAAGACGGAACAAAAGCCTCATCGCAAATTAATGAGCAGAGGAGGAGGATCTCACCTACATTTTGAACCAAGGCATGTGGCAGAAAATATTTTTACGTAGTAACTATAGACGAAAGTGTGAGGGATACTAACCTGCCTGAAGACCTGCAGGGTCAGTGCCAAATGTGGCCAGCGTTCTGTAGAAGAGCGTCAGCTGACTCAACAGCAGATCCAGCGCCTTCTGAGGCTCCTGGGAGGACTCTTCAACGCCACCGTTCTTGGCACCTCCTCAAGATAAAAAGATCATCGCTTTAGAAATTGGCTGGTACCATAAATTTTACAAACAATACTAATAATCTAATTAAATTACTAGTCTATTCTCAACTATACCATACTATAGAAAGAATAAAATGTTTAAATATTATGCCATCATTTTAGGCCTCTGAATTTGACGTTTTGCATCCACGACATTCATCTATGGTTACCAGTCCAACGGAAAACAACATTCACCAAAACACAATTTCTTCCAGACTACTAAAGCGGACTAAGTACATAAAATTATTCCTTAAATTATGGGTTATCAAAAAGAAACTAGTAACAAATGGTGCCAAAAAGAACAATATATAAAATACAAAGTTTCTGTAAAGGCCGCAGCCAAGCATGCACTTAATTCCATGATCGAATAGTGGCAGTTATCAGACACTACTGTATTACTACTTTAGGCAAGTGAGTTACGCTAGAAATGTGAGAAACGCATCACCTTACAGTCAAGACTCATAATTACCTTTAGCAGGGCCAGGTTTGCCAACACATATGCCAGACATGACCTCGTTTTCCAGGATACTGGGCACCACTAACGGCTGGATGCTCTCCTCCATGAGCTTGATGACGCCGTTATAAATCCACACCGCCAAGTCAGAGAGTGTCTGCAACAAAAGCCAGGATAAGCAAGAAAAGAATGAAGTTCGTAAGACACGTGCGACAATGTGATACTTCTAATTTTATGAATTTATAAGAAAACTAGTTATGTAAGTTCCCAACACAATAAATTTTTTGCACCAAATAAGAATTGCGTAAAATTTTTATACTATGCTTATATTTTTATTTACGTATTTTATTACATTAAAAAGCAATAAATTCATACGTTAAGCATATTTGATCACATTTAAGATAGGCAAAAATTACCGGCCGGGCACATAAATAGACGGTCTGAGAGTCTGACTCTGACTGTGGCCGAGTTAACATAGCTCCTGGTAAAACGTAAATACGATCTCTGTGGTTTAAATATGCCAAAGCCTAATCAGAACGGCTTTGAATTTACTGGGATCAAATGGACTTCTAGATAAAATATGTCAGCCTCATTTTAATAAACTGAGATTTACTAAATAATTTTCGCCCCTTGACTGACATTATATTTCATCCTAATATATCGAAAGATCAATGATAAAAAGGATATTCGGAAAATATTTGACCTTCTCCTGACGACACAATTCAAGGAAACCATGACATGAGTTCATTGGATCAAGCCCAAAAGTTACACAATAGCACTATAAAAAAGTAACACAATAACAAAGTAAACAATAAACATGTCAGTTCATACATCATGGAGGCATACATGACATTTGCAAAGAATATGTCTACATTGCCTCCTCAGAACTGGAAAAGATAGCCAAATACAAATAGCAGCGCTACTTTGAAATGTATCGGCCGCTACCGTTACCGCTGCATGCTCTAAATGTAGCGGGCGGTACCGCTACCGCTGCAATTGCTTAAATGTAGCGCCGCTACCGCTACATGTAGCGCGCTACTGCCCACCTCTGCAAATACAATTGTTTTCTCACCAGATTTCGAGGCAGCGGCGCTCATCACGGCATTCAGGTTCTCCTGAGTGTCTACTTGGGCCAGCGCGAATCCAATCAACGCACAATCCATCGCTGCCGTACAGAAGCTCCGTGCAATATTTGATGTTAGGATGTGGGGGAGTGCGTCAGTTCCAATGCAAGACACAGCATCTTGCGGGATTTCTTCTTCAGTATCATCTAGGAAATGTGGAAAAGTAGTTTGTAAGTTGAACAGTTAATGTGTAGGAACACCGAATACTTGACAACTGCAAGACTGATCATTAATCAGAATTCACGTACATAGATTCTAATTAATTACCTTAAATAATTTGAAAAATGCCATATTTCTGTAAAATAGTAGGATTATAAACTGCATTTTCGGCGCAACGATTCTGTGAAACACAAGAAAACAAAATTAAAATCACCTTTGTGTTCAATTTAGCCTCCAGAAAAACATGGAAAGTCCACAATAAATTGTAATGTGTTATTAGATTCACAGTCCGACTGCATGGCCCGAGCTTGTATTCCGTAAATCAGGAATGTAATATAACTTACCAATTCTTTATTTATTGTAAACTGCTATATCGAACCGTGAGAATGTAAATCGTCATAAAAATATAGAATAATAATTATAATAAATATAAAAAACAATAAATATAATGATAAATAATAAATAATTAAATCAGAATATATTTTTATCGCGTTTAGCCGGTCCTTTATTCACCTTGAAGGTGTACTTTCGTTCCAACACACGTCGAGTAGCACAGTCCTTCATTCGTTATGTTTTGGCCATCCAAAAACCCGCCAAAAAGAGTGAGGCATCCACTTGTACCTGAAGGAGGAATAATTATTGTGAATTATTGATTTATTATTGAAATTATATATAAATTTTTGGGGCGACAGACACCTAACGAGAAGGGATGAAGTCCTCGTGTAGGTGGCGAGCAGGAACAATGCAGCTAATTGCGTTAAGTTAGTTAGAATGGGAAGGAGAAGCAAGAGGCAGAACGAAACGGTATTCTCACAGGTGATGCCGATTACAGTTTGATAGATGACCCCTTCTGGAGGTTCATCCGTTGCGAAACTAGAGGCCAAAATATACTGTGGAACCTTTTACGCTTGCAGAACAAGATTGCCAACGTCAAACTTAGCCCTGCTTGAACTCAGACATTTTTCTTACATATACATATCGTGATCTATCGTAATATTGAGTATATCTGACATCACGTCGCACGTAACAGGGAGGCATGACAACACAATCATCCATAAATGAACTTAAAACTTCTAATTATGTATGTAGACCACACGATATTACAACACATTTCATTAAGGCAACGATAGGCAAACGGCAGCCAATGGCGCTCTCATGCGTCCAGTCAGGGCCGTACGAGTTGTGATCCTCCGTTGGTTCTAATAGCTATTTTGATTGTTGTGGTCTAAAATGTATACTATATATGTGAGTTTATACAAAGATTTTGATAATAATTGGAAAATGCATTAAATTGTGGCTATCAAGCATCTTATTCACTAGTGTTAATTCAGTTATAAATGCAGCATTCATTATGAATAAATTATAAGAAAAATATCCATTTTTGAATAACATTCAAAATTTCCACGTGGCCTTTCAAGCAAAAGATTCGCTCAGGCCCTGATTTAAATACATCAAATAAGTACAGAAAAAATGAATTAACAGTTACAATAAATTCTCCCAAGCCCGATGAGTATAAAAATCCAGAACACATTCATATTTTAGAGAAAAAAACACATTGTTAAATAATTCCGTTAGAATACTATTTTAAAAATCAAAAAATATCATGCAGAATTCGTCAGGAATATCAGGACTTCGAAACATTAGTTAGGAAAATGTTCAACACGGTTTCGTATACAAAATATATCAAAATCTATTAAAAGCGCTCAAAATGCATTAATATTATATTTTAACATACAAATTTGAGATTATCTGAATATTGCCCAGCACTGTTACTCACCATCATAGCCGACATAGACCTCCTCACCATCGCATGCATCATTCCATGGATTATAGAAACCATTCATGGCGATCATGCAGGACACGCCATTGAACTTGAACATCAGTTTGGCTGTTTATACAGAGCATGGTTACGCTACGTAAAATAAATGACACGAAGCTATAGCATAGTGAATAATTTAACATGTATTTAGCAATTGTTTACAATGCATTTTAGGCAAATTTTGTTATTAACCGAAGATATTGCCAGGATTTATATTTTCTCGTTCGATTTAATCCCGCATTAAAATTTAACAAAAAGAAACTTGCCTATTTTTTATATTACTTTCTACAAATATATATTAGAATCACCTCCACTCAAGCCAATAATATATCTTTCTCTCTCATTTAAAATAATAAAATTAGGTACGTCAGACATGAAATTTCACATTGACAGCGGATATAAAGAATTACCAGCGTCCACGGTGGCCTGGGCACAAGCGAAGAGAGTCTTAGCACCATCAGCGACCTGCCATGTGATGTTCTGAGCACTTGAGCTTGTGACCTGCACGAAGCCTTGTTGCCCTATGGCTACCAACCAGAGACTTACCGGCAGTGAAGTTGCTTGTCTGATGCACGTCGAGAACAGGCTGCTTCTCAAAGAAGTTTCGAAGAGCAGCTGATGACAAACAAAAAATCTGATTAAAAATTAATAGAAAAATTCAATTAGTATGCGATTAAAATATTAAATATTATTTGTTTATGAATTTGAGTTATGTGTAACGCACGTGAAATTTAGAAGCATTTTTTTTTTGGAGTTGATGGTTGATGACGTTGCCTTGATGTTTATACTCTAAGAGCTGAGCAGATGAGAACGAACAAAAATGTTAAGAAGTAAATGTGTCTCATAATAAATAAATTACGTCTGCAGGAGAACCATATGAGTAAATAATTAAAAAGATGGATGGTATAATGAGCGCCGAAACTGAGCGTGATTCTTACATTAGTTGTTATTATTTCGCAAGTTGATTACGGGAAACGCTCGAGATTGGTCTATTTTCTCTTTATAAAAGTTGATTATTATTTAGGTGACTTACCAACCATTTATATAATGAATAAAACCATCTCATTGATCAGAAACAAAATTAGCATATATTTACTCACCGTTTCAATAACTTCGTTGGCGCGAGGAGAGGTCAGTTCCTGAGGGACAGGCACATAAAAATTCTGTTATCAGATTTTTCACTAAAATGCAATCATTAGATAGACATATGGTAACCGGTGGGATGATTTCTTAAAATTATATAACCTATAGATAAACATATAGCGAGGTAAGCTCAATTGATCCAAAACTTATCTGCACGATAATTTCTTAGAATGCAATAAAATTAGATTCTAAATCTTTGAGGGCAAATTGTGGACTACTGAGAATTAATGCATTATTGCAGACCAATACTTCCACACAAGTAGAATTATTTATTAACATAATTGTAGGATGTTACATGATTTTTGAAAAAAAACAATACATTTTTAACTAGCTTTTCTCCTTGGGTAACAACTTAATGAAACTAAATTTTTAGAGATGAAGCAAATTTATACAGAAAACTCTACAGACACAGCGATAATTAAATAAAATTAACCCATAACATGTCCTAATAATAATCATAGCAAACTGCACATATATTTATGAATATAGCAGTCTCTATTTCGTACCGTTGCAGTGGCTGGCAAGGCTGCCACCAGCAGCGTAAAAAGTAAGGCAGGCGTTGCCATCGGACGTTGTTGCTCAAGCGAGAGTCGCACTCGAACTGGCGGCCCGTCGCCCCCGCGGCCACAAGTTAGAATATTTTTACAGGTGTTTACTGC